AAAAACAGCGGATGTCCACTTGCGTATGATCAGCAACATAATCCTCACTGCAATGGGATGTCATGGAAGGAAGGGAGCAGTTGTATCTCAAGCACTCCTTGAAACTTTAAATACTGTTTATGTGCAGACGTTCTTGCAAACTTTTGTATGACATTAAGATACAGAAAGACAAAACAACAACAACAATGCATCACTGGAGACTTACCAGAGGCAAACATTGTTGTGCCTAGAACTAAATGGCAAGACAGCATGGACTTTGGTGGTAGATCAGGACACAATGTCGGTGGGCATCTTGCCACCCAAATTAAAACTTTTTAAAACACAAAAGTGAAAATAAAAGAACCCTCATGAAAGAGCCAAATCTTCTAGATTTCTTCTAGGTTCTTGCAGATCTCACTAGATTTCAACCACTTTCAATTATTCTCTCCCTCCCTCCCCCCTCCCCCCCTCTCTCTCACACACACACCATTCCCCATGCCCAATAAGGTTGGATGACCACTACCTGAAAAACTTATCCACCCTTGATTTGAGTTCAAGAAAGTAAACGGGAGTGCTCTGGAACCCATTGACGTGATTGTAGTAGGTCCATATCCAAACTGCAGAATGCCAAATAGCTACTACATAGCAAAAATATTTTCTTATTGCCATTTAGTGGTCACTTCGATTTGTGAAGCCAAGCTACAACAATCTAGGCTAAGGTCAAATTATCGTGCTATGCTGTTTGAATCCAGAATTTACAACCAACCACTGGAAAACGTTTCTACTTTAATCTGTAAAGCATTGCCTTGGACTGATGTTTGTTAGCACCAAAATGTTGTTAATTAATTTCTAAATGTAGATATTATTTTTCACTAGTGGAACCTAAATCAGTTCGCCTCCAAATTTCATGGGTTTTTTTTTTTTGGTTTTGTTTTTTTAAATTTGATTTATATGCCGCCCTTCTCCAGAGACTCAGGGCGGCTTACAATGCGTTAAGCAATAGCCTTCATACTTTTGTATATTTATACAAAGTCAGCTTATTGCCCCCACAAACTGGGTCCTCATTTTACCTACCTTAGAAAGGATGGAAGGCTGAGTCAACCTTGAGCCTGGTGAGATTCGAACTTACAGTAATTGCAGACAGCTGGTGTTAATCACAATGCTTTTAGTCTGCTGAGCCACCAGCAGACAGTTTGTAGCTTCTCTGAACTGTAAATTTATAAGCGCAGTGTGAGTTAACCATTACTTATCCATTAAAAACCTTTCTCAAAGATCTTTACTTTCTGATCTGATGCCCAAAACTTCAGAAGCATCATCACAATACCAGCATTAACCATTAGTGGCAAAATATACAGCAATTTATATTATATATATGAGAAGTGTTATATATATATATATATATGTAAAACAATTCTGCTCTTGTGCTACAACCTTCAACTTTTCTTATGTTCTTGTTTAAATTAAAACTAAAACATCTAGTGAGGGAAATGACATCACCATAGTACTTAATCTTATCCAAACCTTTTAATCAAGTAATTTATTTCACTTCTTCTATATATTTTGGACATATTGCTACCTGCGTTCAAGAATTTCACAACTCACGTAAACAACAGTATTCCAGTTTAATCAACTGAATTTGATATGCTGGAGACTTTAGGGTGAAACACCCAGCCTGAGAGAATGATTAAAAAATAAATTAGAACAGAAATCCGATTGTAACCAAAGAAATAGGACAGCTCAAATAACTCAATCTTTCAGGAATGCAAGACAAAACAGGGTCCCTGCCTCTCACATTTTCTGCAGAAATGCTTAACTTTCCAGGTATGGGTAAAGAGTTTCATTAATCCACAATTCTGCCCTACAGTTTTATCTGCCATATGTTTCTTCTAATCTACGCAGTTTGCTGGTGGTCTCAGGGGAGACTGGGGAGGGAGATTAAAGAATGCTTGCTCTGGTTGTAATTGAAAGATTCCAGAGCATGGGAAAGTAATGGGGGATCAATAGCTGGAGTCAGTGTAGAATAAGCAAAAGTTTATTGATACAACAGACAGCCAGACTGCACCATAATGCAAGAGCGGGCAGACACATTTTTATGTGAACAGGGTTTTTTTTTTCAGTTTAAAGATAATGATGCATCTTATTTGGGGATGGCTTATGTCCTGTTTAACCATGCTGCAGAATTCTAACTGATGGCATTATTTATCTTAGGAGTGAGAAAGCTATGAACTATCTACTGGTCTGAATTCAAATACCATTGTTTCATGTCCATTCAGACTCCCTGAGATTGAGCTCAAATATTTAGCAGAAGGGTCACTGAATTTTAAATTCATATTTAACCAAGAAGATTTCAGAGAGTTGGGGTGACAGAGGACCCTCAAAATAGATGAGCTTATGCCAATATTTTAGGGGCCAAGATGTATACAATCCTCAAAGGAGATTAGGCTGAAATCTAGTCTTAATAGTTGGATACACAATGGGGTATATCTAACAGAGCTGACTTCAGTACAGTATTTACAAACGTAGGCACCATTGATCATTTAATACATGACCTTTGCTCTGTAAATCTTAATAACTGCCATGCTTGTTAGCACTGCAACATGCAAAATAGCATTTGCAAAATGATGCCCCCCCCACTCCAGGATGTTAAGGCTAAGAAGAAACTTAACTCATAAAGGATTTAACCTGATTAATGCTGATGTAATCAGTTTCCCAAGACTGATGATGCATGATAGAGAAAATTAGGTGGGTTTTTTTTTTTTTTAAATTTTGCCGTGATAGACAAGAAAGGCATTTTCCCTACAAGTAAGAGGCAAACATCCTGAGATATATCCTCAAACCAACTTGGAATGTAGAATCGCTGTGGCATCTACAAACATAGAATTGAATTACGCCTGCCTGCCTGTCTATCAAATTTATATGCCACCCATCTTGATATCCAAATCAATTCTCTATTGATGAGAAAGGGAGGAAATCTTTTGACAAGGCTTTCACAAATGAAATAACTGCAAAGAACACATGGTAGAATGTAGCTTTGTTTCACCTTTTCTGGATTGGTATATGGCAGGAGTGGTGATCTGGTTAGCTACTGGCTACCATCTGTAATTTAAAAAAAAAACAATTAAATCAAATTTAGCTTTTGCCATGTTTGAATTCAAGTTCCCAACAGGCAATTCAAGAATCAAGGGCAGCTAAAATAAAGAGCAGCAATCCTAAAATAATTGTACATATTTCTTTTACTTTGAAGGGCTGTGCGCTCCAAGATTAACCTTTAAAATAAACATAAAAGGAAGAATATGAATCTTAAAATTGTCCTTAAGCAGTTCTTGGACACAGTTGTTCTGGACAGCAAACAAGTTATATGTAAAATGATTTCTCTATTATAACGAATCAACTATGGTTTCTACATTTGCATTTATAGAAATAGGCTGAGATACATTTTACACGAGTTTTTGTTTAATGCTGTAGGGAAAGTATTCCAAGTATGGTTGCTTTGTTATTTCTGATCTCACTAATAAAGCATAAAAACAGTCTAATCATCATTTCTTGTTCATTGACAGAAACCCATCTGGTGGGGCTTCCAGATTCTCTGAATGCTGTTAGTAATATTAAATGTTCAAAAGTAGTGCCATAAACTTCTGTGCTTCAGTTTTACTATGCAGAAACATTTTGAAAGTGTTACTTGATGTTTGTTCTTGTATTTTTCCTTATAACTGTACAGGGTTCCCAGTTTTAGTTCAGAAAAGATAGTGTGTTCCACTACTGAAGTTCGAAGTCCGTATCACTAAAGTGGTTTTAAGTGGCTTTTGAACTTAGATAAAATGAACGTAACATGAAACTGTGAAGCAAAGATGTGACATTACATGAACCTGGAAAGTGCCCTAGTGAATACAGTGTCCGATTTCTACAGCCATTCAAAATTACCCCCTGGCCTTGCCTATATCCTACAATCATTATGGATAAAATGCTGTTTAATATTCTATTTGCAAAGGTGGGACACAGAAATAATTTTCACCCAAAGTGCCCAAATTTTGATCATGTGAGTGTGGAGAGTGTGGTGATTATTTTAAGCATCAGGGCCAGTCATAAATCACCTTTTTTTTAAAGTTGTAGAAATTTTGAATGGTCACTAAATGAACGGTTATAAATTGAGGATTACTCTTCTTTTTATTTCTCATTAATCCTAGTTTGGCTTTCCATCTGATATAATTCAGCAGCCTCTGGTCTACTTTTACAGGTAGTCCTCAACTTATGACCACAATTGAGCCCAAAATTTATGCTGTTAAGTGAATTTGTCTCATGTTACAACTCTGTTAAGTGAACGACTGCAGTTGTTAAATTAGTAACACCATTGTTAAGTGAATCTGGGTTCTCCATTCTCTTTGCTTGTCGGATGGTCGCAAAATGACTCCTGAACACTGCAACTGTCATAAATACAAGTCAGTTGTTAAGCATCTGAATGTAAACCACGTGACCATGGGGATGCTGCAACGGTCATAAGTGTGAAAAATGGTCACAAGTCACTATTTTCAGTGCTGTTGTAACTTCGAACCATCACTAAATGAACTGTTGTAAGCAGTGATGGGTTTCAAATTTTTTACTACTGGTTCTGTGGGTGTGGCTTAGTGGGCATGGCATGGGCATGGCTTGGTGGGTGTGGCGGGGGAAAGATACTATAAAATCTCCATTCCCACCCCACTCCAGGGGAAGGATACTATAAAATCTCCATTCCCTCTCCAGTCCAGGCGAAGGATACTGCAAAATCTCCATTCCCTCTCCAATCCGGGCGAAGGATACTGCAAAATTCCCATTTCCTCCCAATCAGCTGGGACTTGGGAGGCAGAGAATAGATGGGGGTGGGGCCAGTCAGAATGTTTACTACCAGTTCTCCGAACTACTCAAAATATCTGCTACCGGTTCTCCAGAACTGGTCAGAACCTGCTGGAACCCACCTCTGGTTGTAAGTCAAGGACCACTTGTATTATGTGATTTACTGAAAGCTTATTTTTCCTGCATTTCTACAGGAGGTTTGCATCGGGCTAGCAGTGTTCCAGAGTATGTATATAAATTAGATGGAGTGGAAACAGACTTTGCTTCAAGACCATCTTTTGCAACTTCATATTATCAGTCTCATCAGGTAAGAAGGCTTTAATACATGAAGGTTTATATGAATGTAGATTAGATCTTATTTGGTTGCTTGAATAACTACTTATTATTAGTGAGAATGCCTATTGAGTTTTTCTCGGATTTTGCATTTAAAGTGCAAAGATCTTTTCACCATTATTATAAATTCAACAACTAGGCATGGTAGACGTCTATCTTAGTATCTCTCGATTTTAAACTTAGCATCTTTAAAATGTGTTGATTTCAACTCCCAGAATTCCCCAGCCAGTGAAATAAAAATATGGTTTTTTTTCTAAACCTCATCCAGTCTCCTCTTCTTTCCATTCCTTCTCTCTCAGCCCCTGTTTCTCCCTGTAGGCTTGGCAACACTAAAGGCTCTTATCTTTGCTCAAAAAATATTAAATTTGCCTCCATTTGATATCAGAGGAAACTATTTTGAAGCTTCACTGCAGCGCAGGGGAAGACTTAGGTTTTAAAAGGGGAGGAGAAATATCTCTGGTTCTAGTAGCATCTTCTAAACAGTTTACTGATACCATGTCTTTGTGTCAAAGCAATGGTGGGTTGCTACCAGTTCGCCCCAGATCGGGCGAACTGGTAGCGGCAGTGGTGGGAGACTCCGCCCACCCACCCAGACATCTCTGCGCTTGCGCAGAAGCATCACATGCACGTCCACGAGCAAACTGGTAGCGACAGGATTTGAAACCCACTACTGTGTCAAGAGTATGTTTGCTGTTAGAATAGAAAGACATAAATTTAGTAGCTGTGTAAAGATAGTCCTCAACATACAATTGGTTGCTTAGCAGTCATTCCAAGTTACAACAGACCCCAAAAGAGCTACTTACTCCCTGGTTTTGAAGTTCTGATGTCCACCCCTCCTCCCATGGTCACATGTCTACATTTTAGGCTATATTTAGAGCTGTTTGTAGCAGCTCCCCCACAGTCACATGATCGTGATTTATGAAGATTTTTCCCGAAACCAGCATTTACTTCCAAATTCCAGCAGAAACGCTGTATAGCAAACAATGGGATTGCTGAACAACCACTGCAAAAAGATTGTAAAATTGGGTCTGGTCACATGGTGACCCACTATATGACCGTCACAACTTCCAACCGAAATTGTGGGCTCGATTATGGTTGTAAATCGAGGATTTATTTGTACATTGAAGAAATTTGGTTTCTCAGGTTGCAATCTTATATGCACTTATTTAATGTTACAACATACCATATTTGTCAGAGTATAAGACTCACTTTTCCCACCCCCCAAAAAAGAGCATGAAAATCTGGGTGCGTCTTATACTCGGAATGTAGCCCTGCCCAGCCTTGCAAATGGAGATTTCAGAGGCTGAAAGAAGCCTCTGAAAGAAGGTTCAGAAAAAAAGGCTCAGAAACAAAGCTTCAGAAAAAAAGGCTCTGAAAGGCTTTTATCTAAAATAATATGGCAAGCAACAAAAGAAGAATCAGTAAAAGTTCTAACCAAACTATGCTAACAAATCTGAAGAATGACACAATAACCAACAGATCAGAAGAGGTTAATCTACATACCAATACCAAAGAAAGGAGACTGAACAGAGTAAAGATAGTTCTTCAGGATAAAAGCCTCCGAAAGAAGCTTCTGAAAAAAAGCCTTTTTTTCTGAAGCTCTGTTTTGGAGGCTTTCAGAGGCAGAAAAAAAAGTTTTTTTTCTGAAATGGAGTTTCAGAAGTTTCAGAGGCAGGAAAAAAAGCAAGGCACAGAGCTCACGACCAAGGAACCTGTTGCTTAAATTCACTTCTGGGAGCAGCTGATTGGGGGTATTCCCGGAGGCCGATCCACCCATCAATCAGCTTTTTTCTTATTTTCCTCCCGAAAAACTAACGTGCATCTTATACTGCGGTGCGTCTTATACTCCAAAAAATACAATACTTGACTTTGAATAAACACATATAGGACTGCATTGTTAATTGCCTACTTTGCTTGCCAATGCTGACTCCATGTATTCATTACTGGCAAATAGTACATGCTGTGATTAAAGGACAGAAAGAAATATTATTTTATAACAATAATCATTTTAAATATTACAAATGAATCTTAGCTATATTGTCAAACCAAGGTGGAATCAAAACAGAAATATTTTAAAGAGTAAAAACTGTTCCCCCTTACAGTCTCCCTACCAGGAAGGAATTTAATCAGACTCTCGGGCTTCTGATTGCACATAAGCCAAAAAGAAATTTGTCTTTGTTGTTATATTTTCCAAGGCATAGTGTGGATCCTGTAGACTCAAACATCTTGCATGGATTACATTGTCTGCCCCGGTTTTAATTACAATGTCTGCATTTATGTAATTGCTTGCTTTGCCTTGTCATTTCTCCACTATCGGTAATCTACTTTGCACCTGCCTAATTCCTCATGTAGAATTAAAAACTATTTCATCTATTTTTCATGCAAGGTTACAACAATTAGGTTACACTGGGGAGGGAAGAATAGGAATGTAATATAAGCCTGTGAGGAAACAGCAAACCGTGTTTTCTGTTTGGTACAAGGTAACTGAAATAACCTTGAAAACTGGATGGCTGCTTGTAGAGAGTAGTAATTTAACCTTGTAGGCATGATGCTCACATGTAATCATATTCCAGAAAGAAACACTGCATATGGAATGATGAAAGCTGAATGTAAGTAAAATGGGAATCAAAGATAGGATGATCAATGAATTTTACAGTCCTGCACTTGTATATTCAGAGGAATGCTGGATTTTGGTTTCCCTTTCATCTACCTGATGGAAATCTTTGGTGTAGCCGTTATCTCTCAAAAAATCAATTTCAAACAATTTTGGGCTCCTAAAAAGGAGTTTTTCAAGTGAGTATTGTCCTGAGGGTCTTAGAGACTAGCAGAATATCAACACTAGAATTAAACCGGAAATATTAGCCAAGAATCATGTGAATAAAAGAAACCCCAGAAATTCCCAACTTTAAGCCTGGATTTTGTGTTGCTGTGCCAATATAGGAATCTATTTTTCAGCAAGAGAGAGAGAACTAAAGAGAGCTGAGGCTACTGGTCCTTCTGTTTTGGGCGACTAGAATATGGAAATAACAAACTCTAAATTCCCAATGGAAGATGAGAGAGATTGAGGTAGATAGATAGATGGTGTCTGGAAGATTCCAGCCTAATTTGATGGAGAAGGTATAGGGAAAATAATGTAAACAAGTATCAACAGACACTATGAGGATTTGAAATAAGAAGAAATGGAAGAATAAGGGCTAGGATGACCAAGGTCAAATACAAAGAGCCTGAGACTAGAAAAGTCTATTGCAGTAACAACACACAAATGTCACCCACCCAAAAGAAAAAAATATTTCTCAAACTATTAGAATGTTTAAGTCTTTGGGAAGCCTAATACCAAGTCTTCCCTTAATGAGAAGGAAAGTTTTGAGAACTGATTGGATGTAAATTCTAAGATCCCATTCCCACTCATTAATAAAACAGGCAGCCACCATATAAAATCCCATTCCCACTCATTAATAAAACTGCCAGCCATCTTATATGACTACTGTTTCCTGAAACACCTATCCAGTTTTTAGTTGTGTTCTCAGTGGGAGCCTGTTACCTACACACTTCACTCAAAGATTTCCTTGAGATTTGAGTCAATGAATGGGCTCATTCAACTGTGATTTGCCCAACACAGTTCCTGATTTGGAAACACATTTCATGTTTCATCTGCATCTTGGTTCCTCCCTGTAGAACAAAAAAATGGATCGTGAACAAAGTGGGAACCATACTGTCAACATTCCTGAATATGTGATCTCAAACACATTAAGAAGGAATAGTTTCATTGTGATATTTGTAAATATTTTAAGGCAACACAATGACTTACACTTTCTATGCATATTTAGATGTTAAATGGGAGAAGAAATGAAAAGACACATATATACTTTAGCATATCTAAGTCTGTGCAAATAAAATGTGTGTGTGTGTGTGTGTGTGTGTGTGTTTTCTTTGGATTTAATCACCAGGAAAGTTATAAATTATAACTTGGGGTCTCATTGCATCTATTCTGGTTGCATACTTTAGTTTGTATAGGTAGTCCTCGACTTACAACCATTTGTTTAGTGACCGGTCAAAGTTACAATGGCATTAAAAAATTGACTTATGACCGTTTTTCACACTACCATTGCAGCATCCCCATGGACACATGATCAAAAGCGCCAGTTGTGCTTGGCAACTGGCATGTATTTATGACCGTTGCATTGTCCCAGAGTCATGTGATCATATTTTACAACCATATGACAAGCAAAGTCAATGGGAAGCCAGAGTCACTTAACAACCATGTGACTAATTTATCAGCTGCAGTGATTCACTTAACAACCATGGCAAGAAAGGTCATAAAATGGGAAAAACTCACCTGACAGATGTCTCGCTTAACAATAGAAATTTTGGACTCAATTGTGGCCATAAATCGAGGATTATTTGTACTGTACCTATTCGTTATATTAATAATAAATTCTATACAACTATGTATTTCTTGAAATGAATATTTTCCACAGATTGAGACAAAAAAGACAAGTTTCCAAAAATATTCCTCCTCCTTCGTGAGACACTTCCAATTGATTGTGCTTTCCCTGGTTTTGTTTAATTTTACTTTGTTTACTTTAACAGATTGGCTCCCAAAGTAGCTATGAAAATGGCTGGGGTCCTCGCAGCCTCCCTTACAACTACAGGGCAATGGAAGAGAGGTTCCACAGACAGCCTTTGAAGAGATTGGAGGTTTCTCCTGAGAGCAGTCCCGAAAAGCCACTTCTCTTCCACACTGACATGCGCTATAACAGAGCTTTAACAGTTCGACAGAATGAGAACAAGAGAACCTGCGCCTTGCCACCAAGATATGCTCGTTCTGAAATCCTTGGCTACACAAGCCGCATTGCTTCAAGCAGAGGGCCCAGGCAGTTCTACATTGGGCCGACCAATGAGACCATGGTGGACTGTGTACCTTTCAGTCCAGGAGTGCCACTGTATCAGCGTGTGGGGAATAGCCGGAGTCTGAGCAATCTTTTGGAGAAGGAGAATTATCTCACTTCTGGGACTGCGGTGGGCCAAGCCAGATCTTCTTTGCATTCCCAAGTTGGAACCCAGCATAGGCATTCGAGCTGGCAGCAGAACACCGTCAGAACCCAGAGCACGAAGGAAGCCTCCTTGGCAACTTCATTCGCTGAGGCAAATGGGAAGAGGATGACAATGACAGCGGCTATGGCTGCTGCTGGAGCAAATGGCATCGTTGAGCATGAAAGGATATCTGCCAGCAGATCTCAAATAGGGTATGTCTTTGAAGATGCACCACTATTAGCAATGCCCAAGACCAGGGTGTCAAACTCAATTTCATTGAGGGCTGCATCATGGTTGTGTTTAACCTCGGGGGCGGGGGGGGGTTGATGAGCGTGGCCATGGTGGGAGTAGCTAGCTCGGCATTATTTTTGTCGGGTGCACCCGAGTTCCGTTTTCACTGGCAGAGGTTTGCAGGAAGCCACCACAGCCGAAAACGGAGCTCGGGAGGGTGACCCTCCTGAGCTCCGTTTTTGCTGGCAGAGGCACCGCGGGCCAGTCCTTTGCTGTTTCCAGGGCGGCCCCACGGGCCAGATCTAAGCACCCTGTGGGCCAGATCTGGCCCAGGGGCCTTGAGTTTGACATCCCTGCCCAAGACTATTCACCTGGCGGTAGTATTTTCGGTTCATAGCAAGACAGTATGTAGAACATAAAGGTCCTTTAGTCCTCCAAATGTTGAACACTATGTTAGTTAGAATTATGAACTCTAATTCCCAGAAGCTTAGTTCCCATGACCAATAGTGATGGATTCTAGGAAATGTAGTTCAGGAACATCTGGAGGACCACAGATGTTCTCCACCTATCTGGCATATGATACATTTTATATCCCCCTGGGCAGCAGAATTATGCCCACAATCCTTGCTTCTGCCTTCGTTCATCTTCACTTTTGAAATGCACAGTATAAGTGAGTCTGACTTTTCTACAATAGCATTTAGGCTTTTATACCACTTTGTAGTGGGTTACAGCCCTCTCTAAGTGGTTTACAGAGTCAGCATATTGCCCCCAACAATCTGGGTCTTCATTTTACAACCTGGGAAGGATGGAAGGCTGAATCAACCTTGAGACGGTCAGGATTGAACTCCTGACAGCCAGCAGAATTAGCCTTCAATACTGCATTCTAACCGTTGTGCCACCACTTTCTTTTCTGATTTTTGATAATGCAGAGAGATTGATTTTGGACAATTTTTGTTAATGAGTTTGTGGTTTATTCAACAAAGAATGGCTGGCAGAAATTATAATTTAGTACATTACAGGAAGCCAGCTAATATTCTTTGTAATGAGACCCATTGAACTAAATCAGACAGAATTCTGATAAATATGTGTTGTTAGAATTGGTTCATTTTCCAAAGGCAGAATGTTAGACTTTATTTTAATTCATGATTAACCACTAATTATCAGTTTAGTTGCTCACTTTTGGAATTCCTGCTGCATTCTACTGGTTCTTAGTGATTGACTTTGTATTTCCTGGAATTAAGTTTGGAGCTGTTAAGATATACAGTGTCAAGAAGATAGAAGGGGATAAAACAATAAAAAATATTTAAAACAAAGAAGATAGAAGGGGGCTATTCATGTAATATCAGGTCAGAACAGGTTTACAGAGTGAGCTAATTCCAGCTATGGCAACAACTGGATTGAAGGTAACAGCTGAATCTTCTTGGCGATACCAGTGTTTGCTGACTCAAGATAGAAGCCATGTATCTCAATCCAGATACAAACAGCTGATAAATTTGAGACACATAGAAAAAAGATGAGTACACCTTAAAAAATGTTTCTTGAAATAGCCTTTATTTTTCTTTACAAATTATTCTTGGCAGTTCTAAATAGGGAGTGATAAATAAAGCAACTAAGGCATAATTATCAGGGCTGCAAAGCCTAAATGACTGGGGTTGAATCTACCAATCAGATAGATAAAAATAAATTATTTTTTTAATCAAGTAATTTGCTAGTATACTTTATTTATTTTTATAAAGTTATTTTTAACAGAAGAAGAGTCATTCTCCTTTAAGAAAGAGGAAATCCCACTTCTCAGTATGTTTCTGATTGTGTTACCTCCATGTGTTATGTCATATATTTAGGTTGGCACATCATGTATGAACCCACCCATTAAATAAAGAGAATTGTGTTTAATCAAACCCAGGTAAATAACAGGAGTGGCTTTAGAGTAAGTTGCATGAGAAAACTAAGTTTAACAACATCTAGAGAGCTAAGGATCCCTAAGTTTTACATATATTTGAAACTAAGCAGGAGAAGCCATGGAATAATTGAAACTGTTCCTCTTTACCAATCTCATATAATAATTATGAGAATAAAAAAAAGATATCATTTGCACCTTCAATCCTTTAAAAGAAAGATGCAATATAATGTAGCAATGAGTAAATAACACACTTATTTGGATTAATAATAGTCCAGTCAAGAGGCTAGACAAATGGTTTGGACATTTGTTAGAATAATTCATGGTCTGAATCTATAATTTATCTATCATGGAAGTCAATTTACGGTACATCTTGCTAAATCTCAGAAGGATTCTGCTTCTTGATAGGCTTGTTAGGACTTGTTCTATGCACCAAAGAATTGTTAAATGTTTGGTTTCTATAGCTTGGTTATATCCATCCATAGAAGCAAACTGTGGGCAAGGCTGATAACTTTAAAGGCAAATATTGCCATCATGTCTAATTATGTTCCAAGATTGCTATTCACTGATAAGAAGCAAATAGAAAGACTGAACTGATACACGATAGATGAAAGGCCATCAAAAATATCTCAGGGAAGTAAAGAAAACCTTTGTTGTATATCTGTGTGATCCTGGCAATTGTAGACCTCAGACTAAACTCGGGAATTATGTTAATTGAGAGTGGCTGAAAAAACAGACTCATGTTTGACTTATATAACAATGTAGTGCATAGATTATCATCATAGTTTTCCATAGGCACAGACAGAATCACATTGCCTTATGCAATGGATCTGCAATGGGACATCATGCTAGTTTAAATGCACAGAGCTGGCCCTATGGCAATTGAAGGTCTACCTTTCAAAAGAGAACAGCTGGGAAGGTTCAAGAGAAACCATGGGAAAGAGAATACTACTGATCCTACACCTGTACCTGCTCTCTGAGATAGCTAATATGCTTTGACTAGTAGTAAGGCTAGTTATTATAAAATGCTCCATCAAGATAGTTAGCGTGTGGGGATTTCTTCTTCTTGAAATCACCCAAAGGATTTTTCCTCTTTCTTGCTAGCTAGAGGCATCAGTACCTTCCAAGTAGTTGGAAGCTTATGGGAGTTAAATTCAATGCCTCTACTGTAATGAGTTTCAAGTTTGAAAGGCTACAGCAGTATGAAATTGGACAACAGTTTATAGAAAAGTATGTATGTTGTATATAATGACTTCATACAAGAGTGGTCTATGAAGGGATAGATCAAGTGCAGTCTGAAGTGCAAAATGGTTCTGCTTTATTATATATTGTCTAGAATTTTGGTTAGTTTTGGTTCAGTGTGATGTTGGGACTCAAACATTCATTGAACCCGTAAAACCCCATTCATACCCGGATCATATACACTTTGGGTCCTAGGGAGATTGTGGTTCTTGATATATTTTTCAAGTCCAATGTGGTCTTGAATTGACTGAATGCCCACATTATAAAGGAAAGTTATAAAGGAAAGAACAGTTATGTATGGGTAATGAACCTTTACCTCTGTTAATTTGAACTTTAATATCATAAATCTATCATCCTTTGTCCCCTGAAGATGACATTTAATGACAAAGCAGTTATTTTGCTAAAGTTTCTTGTAAAAAAATCTGGTGGCCTTTTAAAATCCACAAGACCAGCTGTTTTTAACCACTGTAGGTTCTGTTTGGGTCAGAGGTTAAACAGGTTCAGGTCTGCTTGGATGGGAGACCCCAAAGCAGTAGAAACTAAAGAAAATATCCCAGAAAAACCAAGATAGCTACATGGACACAATTATGTCAGACTCCTCTTCAAAAAGAGTTTATCTTTGCCTTCTCCTGTTGATTTGGTATCTGTTTGTGTTTAACTCATCCAGGAATCCAGAAGGAGAGATGAACCTGGAGCATGCAGTAAATATATTGCAAAATGAAAATCCTTTGTCCTCTCGAGTTCTTGCAGCAATTGTTTTTATACAGCACGAGAGCTTTCAGAGAGCAGAAGCCAGAAGGAAAGTGAGTGATAATTTTTTCTTCCTTTCTTCAGATTTTCAATACTTCTTGCATATAAAGTCTTGTGTATGAAATTGGTAGAGGAAAATAATGGGCCGAAAGGAATGGGAAAACATCCTGGATGAAATCCTGTGTGGCTATTAACTCATTTAGCTCCAGATGAGCCCCATTTTCTCAAAGGAATGCATGTAGAAGGGAAGATAGGAGCAGACATGAAACAAACAAGAAAATTAATTTTCAGGAGCAGTCAACCGAAATAAGTCCATATTGATGCCTAGCCAAACTTGCCTATTTTCAGAAAACTAAACAGTGTTGGATATGGTTGATAATTGGGATGGAACAGTTGCCACAAAATATCAAAATAATAGGCTATATTGGTGATACAGGTAGTACTTAATTTACAACCACATTTGGTACAGAAATTTCCAATTTCCAAGTTGTTGCACGGTAGGTCAAGTCAGACCCAATTTTACAGCCATGTTTACAGCAGTTGCTAAGTGAATCGTGCAGTTGTTAAGCAAATCCAACTTCCCCAATGGGAATTTTTTGCTGGAAAGTGACAGAAAAGGTTGCAAATTATAATCCCATGACTGCGGAAGGCTGTGGCCAGTTGTAAATGTGAGCCAATTTCCAAGCTCTCAAATTGGGTTTGGGTGATGACAGCAATGGTGGAATGAGTAAATGAGTTGTAAGTGACAGTACAGGTCAAAAGTGACATTTCTCCAAGACCATTGTAAGTTTGACTTGTAGTTAAATGGTCAGTCAAGGACTATCTGTAGACAGACAGACAGACAGACAGGCTGATAGATATTTTGTGGAGGAAGGCATTTAGCAAATTACTTGTTGCCAAGAATTTATAGGAGGCTAACTTGAAGGAGATTTTACCTCTTTATTTGTAAGGTCTATCCAATATATACTGTATACAGTGTGTGTGTGTGTGTGTGTGTGTGTGTTTATGGGGAGAGGGAGGGAGCAGGGAGAGAGAGATGATAAAGATAGAGAGATGATAAAGATAGAGATATGAAACTCAAATACTTTGGCCACCTAATGAGAAGGAAGGACTCACTGGAGAAGAGCCTAATGCTGGGAAAGACTGAGGGCAAAAGAAGAAGGGGGTGACAGAGAATGAGATGGCTGGATGGAGTCATTGAAGCAGTAGGCGTGAGCTTAAATGGACTCCAGAGGATGGTAGAGGAACGTTGTCCATGGGATTGTGATGGGTCGGACATGACTTCGTTACTAACAGCAACAAATATAGAGATAGATTCATATGAATATATTTACATGGATTTTAAGATCAACTTTTGGTTAGCTTAATTAATTGATAAAAAAACAGGCCTCCTTAATACATTCAAACTAAAAAAGACATACTTTTAAGAAAGAGCCAGTGTATTTCGATTTGGATTTGGATAGGGAGTTTCAGATCCAAGAATCCATTCCAACCACAGAACTCACTAGGTGATTTAAGGCCTATCAGCCTCTGTTATTGTAATCTAGTACCCATGGTTGTGGTAGAAATAGAATAGCATGAGGGAAAGTCTCACATAATATGTCTAAAGTGGAATGAGATATAAAAACTAAAATAAGTTTGGTCTTACCCCAAAAACCAACATTTTACTCTAGTGACTATGAACAATAACAAGAAGAGCCCATGGCCATCTGTTTTGCCACATGATTTCCCAGAGAACAGCCTGTATATTTATCCTACATGGTAGATATCTCTTGAAGCAAGGTCATCTTTCCTAGTCTGGTGTCCTCTAATTTTTAGAAAATATAACTCCCAGCATCCGTCTATTTCGCCAACTTGACTAAGTTTTCTAGTGTTGTGAATTCTAACAGATCTGAAGGACATCAGATTGGGCTCCGCGGGCTCTTGACTGAAACATGTTTTCATTTATCAGTTTCCTGCCATAATAGGAGACAACGTCTAGCGCTCTCTATTGCTCCTTTATAAATAAAAAATGCCCTCACCTTCCCACAGGACTTTGGGCTGGAAATCTTTGAGGCACTTTCAGCCCACACGGTTCTGTACCTCTTGTTTCAGTTCTAAATTTGGCACCTCAACAGCTTTAAAAGAGTGTTATGAAACTGTTTGTACAAGGGCTTAACGTTATTTAGCAGCAATATCCTGCCCTAATAAAGCCTGAACTGCCTTCATATCTCAACAACTGATAAACACAGAGTAAATACTGATCATAGTGAAGTGTTGAGCATTCCCCAAACTATCAAAACAAATTCTCTTTCCTTCCTCTTTATCTCCTTTGCACTGAACACTTCATATCAATCAGAAAACTATTTATGCAGACCATTTACTGTAATATAATTTAGCAGAAATCTGGCTCAGAAAGTATTTTTTTTTAATTCAAGGATTCCATACTTCATGCCCTCTAGATAAATTAGACTTTCATAATACCTCATTCAAAACTGAAAAGCATTAGATGTACTTTTTTTTTTTTTAATTTGATTTATATGCCGCCCTTCTCCGGAGACTCAGGGCAGCTTACAATGCGTTAAGCAATAGCCTTCATACTTTTGTATATTTATACAAAGTCAACTTATTGCCCCCACAAACTGGGTCCTCATTTTACCTACCTTAGAAAGGATGGAAGGCTGAGTCAACCTTGAGCCTGGTAAGATTTGAACCTGCAGTAATTGCAGGCAGCTGTGTTAATAACAGGGTGCTTTAAACCACTGTACTACCAAGGCTCTGCACTACTTCTGCAATCTTCACTATTCAGCAATCTTGGTCCAGCAAAACGATCTGTCCGGACAGTTGTTAACTTCCTATGTGTTAATTATTCCTGGGTGTATGTTCCGTGAGGCCTTATTTTGTGGCCTTTATTTTAAAGTATGTGTTCTTCTTCTTGTTTCTAATCAATAGAAGAGTGATTTATAATTAACATTACATAAAATAACAATTTGAACGATTTGTGTTAATTGTCTGCCCATTTATTTGAAACTTGATGGTTTACTGAATTCAGCCTATTGGTTCTCTGTGGATTTCAATCATTGTTTATGGTAGCTAACATTGATGGGATTGAGTCCAATATGCTGAGTAAGCTAAATTGGAGAAAGCTGATAGAATGCTATCTAAAACCATCCAAGTTGGTATAGGAGATATATTCGGAGAAAGAGTTTTCCAGGATGGAAATGTTGAAATCAAAATAGAAAACTGCTACCCTGTTTCCCCCAAAATAAAACATACTAAGCCCAATCGGGCTTTTGAACGCATGGCTATAAGGCCAAGCGCTTATTTCAGGGTTCAAAAAAAATATAAAATAGGGTCTTATTTTCTGGGAAACACGGTATATAGTACCGAATATGAGAAGTATCAAGTAGCCTGTTACTGAGGACGTGGAAACCTTATAATGAAAAGATGCTGAATTTAAACTCATAGGCACATAAGATGTGGACTGCAGCTCAATATCAGAGAGCAATCAACTGGTTGAAGGAACTACAGGTAGTTCGTGACTTACAACAGTTTGTTTAGGGACTGTTCGAAGTTACAATGGCACTGAAAAAAGTGACTTATGACCAGGGGTGGGATTCAGCCAGGTGAACCGGTAGTTACGGTCAGCGACTGGGCCCACCCACCCACCGTGGCACTATCCCGTCTTATACAATCGCTGTGTTTTTGATGCAGCGTGCATGTGTGCAAGGCACACGCGTGAGCAAAACTATCCCATCCTATGCAACTGCCATGTTTTTGATGCAGCGTGCATGTGCGCAAGGCACGTGGTCTCTCATTTTTTATTCTAGGCGAACCGGTTGTTAAATTATGTGAAGCCTACCTCTGCTTATGACTGTTTTTCACACAACTGTTTAGGCATTCCCATAGTCATGTGATCACAATTCAGATGCTGACTGACTCATAATTATGACAATTGTAATGTCTCGGGCTCATGTGATCCCCTTTGGCGTATTTCTGACAAGCAATGTCAATGGAGAAGCTAGATTCACTTAACAACCCTGTTACTAAATAAACAACTGCAGTGATTCACTTAATAAATGTGGCAAGAAAGATTGTAAAATGGGGCAAAGCTCATTTAACAAATGTCTCACTTTGCAACAGAAATGTTGGGCTCAATTGTGGACATACGCTGAGGACTACCTGTACAGCATTCAGTAGAATTCATTTGCTTAGTTGTATCTTGCTGATTTCTTAGTAAGTCAAGCTAAGAGGAGTTTGGCAGCTAGTAATCATCAATTTGTTTTGTGCGGTGAGTTTCATAAGTTAATGACATCGTATATGATTATTAAATTAATATTGAGAAACCATCCCCACCCTGCTGTTTTCTTAAAATAGCATTGCACATAGATTTCATATATGAAGAATGAGGCACTACAGTATTGTTGTGGGATAGCCTGTGACTTAAATATTCACTTTATGAACTAATGTCACCTTTATTTTGTTAAACTGGCTAACTCTGATCCAAACTATTAGACGTATTCTTGTCTTTGAACATATATTAATAATCTTTCATGGGAGCCAATGGGTTGCCTTATGATCTTGCACAGCAAAAGACTTACAGAATGGAAGGAGGAGAATCATATTGAATAGAATAGAATAATATAGAATAATAACTTTATTGTCACTTTGAATGTACACTAATTAGCATACATTAAAATGAAATTTTGTTGCATACAGCTCTCAAAGGGTCACCACCTCCAATATACACTACATAAACATGGCTAACTAACTAATTAACTAAATAAATAAACAAATAAATAAATACAAAATTATGTATATACTCATATATATTATATGACACAGAGAAACAACACAGTCTAGTTCAGATGTATACATGTACATGGCAAGAAGAACGAATCTTGCAAGTTTACCAGAAGGATGGCATAGGGAACAAAGCTGTTACAGATTCTGGTATCCTGCTAGAAATACTTCGAAACCTCCTCCCAGAGGGGAGCAACAGAAACCGGTTGTGAAGTGGGCGTGTGGGGTCTCTAACAATGCTTTGAGCTCTAAGCACATACAGTAGTGCTTTTTTTTAAAAAAAAAATTGATTTATATGCCGCCCGTCTCCGGAGACTCAGGGCGGTTTACAATGCGTTAAGCAATAGCCTTCATACTTTTGTATATTTATACAAAGTCAGCTTATTGCCCCCACAAACTGGGTCCTTATAAGCAGTATCCTGAAAAACGGGAAGCAAGCTTCCTAGAATCTTCTCAGCTGTCCTTACCACTTTTTGTATGGGCTTTCTATCTGAGGCACTGCTGCCACCAAACCAAACAGTGAGGCAGTTTGTTAAAAACGTTCTCAGTCGTGCCTCTGTAAAAAGTGACCAGGACAGAAGGAGAAAGATGTGCTCTCTTTTCATCCAACTCAGGAAATCGATGTGAATAAGTTATCTCAGGGATAGGCAAACTGATATGCAATACAGGTAGTCCTTGCTTACCAACCATTATGAAGTTATGAAAGTGCTAAAAAAATTAACCACCATTACAGTCAGTATATGTTGTCCTGTGCCTGACCTTTCTCACCCCACCCTATCATAGAGCAGACAGTTTGGAGAGGAAGAGATTTCAAGGGAGCTGTTTGCACAGCAGGCCTGCAGCTACCAGTCCCAGGTGTGATTACATTGCTTTTGTTATGTACAAAGAGAAGTAAGCAGCACTCAAACATTGCAAAAGGTGGGAGAGTGGTTAAGACGCAAACAAAAGCCAAAGGTGTGAAACTGAGAACAATATCTTATCACTTTCCAGCCAGAAAACACATTCAGGTCATGTAATTTCCTATTTAGAATGTAGAATTCTTTATTGGCCAAGTGTGATTAGACACACAAGGATTTTGTCTTCGGTGCATTTAGCAAACACTTTGCTTCGTGGTGGAGTTGCCAGTCCTAGTTAAGGTCATTAAGCAAGAACTACCTTTAAACATTTAGAGTATGGTGCCCAGACTCTCCTGCAAGCATGGTTAATGATTAGGGGAAATGTACTAAGCCACGCGGTGGCTCAGTGGCTAAAACGCTGAGCTTGTCGATCGAAAGGTTGGCAGTTCAGCGGTTCGAATTCCTAGTGCCGCATAATGGGGTGAGCTCCCGTTACTTGTCCCAGCTTCTGCCAACCTAGCAGTTCGAAAGCACGTAAAAAATGCAAGTAGAAAAATAGGGACCGCCTTTGGTGGGAAGGTAACAGCGTTCTGTGCACCTTTGATGTTTAGTCATGCCAGCCACATGACCACGGAGACGTCTTCGGACAGCGCTGGCTCTTTGGCTTTGAAACAGAGATTAACACCGCCCCCTAGAGCTGGGAACGACTAGCACATATGTGCAAGGGGAACCTTTACTAAGCCACATTTTGTTAGAACATCTCAGATGGTTTTTTTCTTGAATGAGTTTTGTCACTCAGGTACAAGTTTATTTTTTAAGAAAACTTTTGGGCAGTATAGTATCCTTAACTCGAGACACTGATTTCATCCAAATAAATCTTTGAGATAAAAACTTACCTGTTTAAAAATAAATGACCTTCTCTTCACAGGTGTATTCCCTAGTTGGTATTCCCAAACTTTTAGCGCTTCTGAATGTGCAGAATGAGGAAGTACAGAGGGCAGCGTGTGGAGCTTTAAGGAACCTGGTATATGAAGACAATGACAACAAATTGGAAGTGTCCGAGCAGAAAGGCATTTCAATCCTGCTGAGATTACTGCGACAAACCAGAGATGTGGAGACTAAAAAGCAAATTACAGGTAACTAATGAGAAACGGTTTCATAGTGCAATACAGATTGTAAAGCTGATATCCTGGTTTATTACACACACATGTTGTGCTGGGTTTAGTATGGGTTGTTCTCCGGTATCTTATAAAGCTTGGGAGAACAATTTTTTATATCGTGACTTATCCGTCTTGTTTGCATTTTAAATAGTTTATTATTTTTTAAAATACCCTGTGTAACTACATAACCATACAATGGATTTTAGCTTTTCAAAAAAAACCCATCTGAAAATCATCTAATGCACATATATCTTGTGTATTTTATTCTAAATAAAATACATTTATTTATTTTAAAGTTATTTATTAAATAAATAACTTTTATTTCTGCAATAGTTATTTGGAAGTAAGCCACTTTATTAAATCAGTGGGGTGGAATACCAAAATATACATGCATAGAGTCAGTCCATTAAATGAACAGAATTTACAGTTCCAGGACGAATGTCCCTCTTAAGTATTCATTTTTCTAAATCAAAAAAACACGAGATCCATGGGGAAATCCAACAGGTTCTGACACGTTTTGGAGAACCGGTAGCGGAAATTTTGAGTAGTTCGGAGAACCAGCAAATACCATCTCTGGCTGGCCCCAGAGTGGGGAGGGAATGGGATTTTGCAGTATCCTTCCCCTGGAGTGGGGTGGGAATGGAGATTTTGCAGTATCCTTCACCTGGAGTGGGGTGGAAGTGGAGATTTTGCAATATCCTTCCCCTGCCACACCCACCAAGCCACACCACGCACACCAAGCCACGGCCTCAGAACCGGTAGTAAAAAAAGTTGAATTTCACCACTGATGAGATTCTATGTAGGCTGCTATGATAATGGAAGACTGAAGAGCTGTGTCAGTTCCTCCTATCAAACCTATTCCAGCTTGCCTTCTAGCCTTTTCCAGATGTGCGGGGGCTGCGGTTCCCATGGTTTTACGCCATCCTATCTAGTAATTCCAGGAGTTCATATATCTGGCAATAATAATATGCTTCCTTCTGGGCAGTCTACTGACCTGGGCGGAATTGATTGGGAAAGAGAAGAAGATGTCAGAGAAAAATTTAGACCATCACTTTTGGTTCTGGCTTCACACACTGCTGATTTTCAGGCCCATTCACCCTTTGGTATGCATTTTTCTCAGGGGAAACAAAATAGCCCAAGAGACGAACTACAGTGAAAACAGAAAGGTCTTGTTATTGGCAGGCTAACCGTGGTCTTCCCTGAAACTGCATTTCTTCTTTTGAAGCTAAATCCAGCAAAGGCTAGAAGAACAATGCCCTTACATGCCTTAGCCATCAACCACAGACAATGAGGCAGGGTCCCATGACTGTAACGTCATGGCTTTGCAATGCAGCAGTAACAAGCAGAGGAAAACGCCAGGCTCAAAGTTCAAGCCAAACTTCATCCCACTCTCTGGAATGATGACAACCTCTTTCCAACTTAATCACAACTGCAAATTAGGCAGCCTGTGATGGTGATGGGATGGGCGGGAAAGTTGTAGAAAGGTTGATAGCATTACCATTTGATTAACACCTCTATAGATTGTGTAGCCCTTATGTCATTGTTCAGGAATGTTTGGAGACTGGCAGAACACAGATATAAATCCTGTTAAGAGATTGCTCTTTTTGCAATTCTCGCCATTAGAGATGTTTTTGAGTCATGTTAAAATCTTATCGTTAGGTGGTGGGAAGAAGTCTCTTGTTATCCGAGGCTCTGCATTTTAGAGGTTTAGCAGTAGAGTTAAAATCTTGCACAATAAAAATGCTCGAAATACAATGGTTGCTTGTTCCCAGTTATCTAAAATAGCCCTCAGTTTTTCTGGTGAAATTTCCTTCTCAAAACTGTGGATTGTTTCTCTTATCAATGTTTCTTAATCGTTTATAGCGGTGTATTGTATCTTGACATTGTTATGTAAGAACACAAGGAAGAACTTGTACAATTATTACAGGGTCCTATAATCCACCATAATATTTCTCATTATGGTCAGTTAGACATCTAAGAAAGCTTCTGTTTTATGGTGCCTGGAATCCAGTCTCCATCTTAGATGGAAGTCTGTGCACATTTCTGTGCCTTTCCACCTAATCTATGCATTTTGTGTGTATTTTTTCTAACTTGCATTGTTGTGTATAGCGTATGTTTGTGAACTGTTACAATGCACTGCAAACTTTAAAAAGGTGTAGATTTCAGCATTTGATGATACAGATTCGGAAAGTGTCATTCTCATTTATCCCACCATATTTAATCTGGGATAAATACAAATAGTCCTCAATTTACACAATTGAGTCCAAACTTTCTGTTGGTGAGTGAAACATTTGTTAAGTGAATTTTGCCCCATTTTACAACTTTTCTTGCCATGGTTGTTAAGTGAATCACTGAAGCTGTTAAGTTAGTAACATGGTTGTTGAGTGAATCTGGCTTCCCCATTGACTTTGCTTGTTTTATCGGGGCTGCTCGAATACCACTTTAGATTGAACTGAAAAGGGAAACAACAGGAGAGGGGAAGGAGTAGAGAGAGCAGAAGGGAGAAGAGAGGAGAGGAGAAAGAAGAAAGGGAAAAGGAGAGGAAGAAAAGGGAGGGGAAAGAGGAGCAGAGGAGAAGGTTAGAAGGGGGAAGAAGAGAGGCAGAGGAGAGGAAGAACGAAGGAAATAGGAGGAGAAAGAGGAAGGAAGGGGAGGAGAAGAAGAAAGTTTGGAGTAAAGGTAAAGGATAAAAGAGCAGCCCTGAGAAAGTAAAAATTAAAAATGAAAGTTAAAATAAAAGACATTGCTTGTCAGAGGGTTGCAAAAGGGGTTCACATGACCCTGGGACACTGCAAAATCGTCATAAATACGAACCAGTAGCCAAGTATCTCAATTTTGATTACATGACCATGGGAATGCCTCAACCATCGTAAGTGTGAAAAACAGTCATAAGTCACTTTTTTCAGTTCCATTGTAACTCCGAACAGTGCCATTGTAACTTCACTAAATGAACTGTTGAAGTTAAGGACTATTTGTACTTTCAAATCCAAAATAAAGAAAACTTGCTTTTCTATGGATCTTTAAATAATGGCCAAACGACCACGGAAATGTCTTCAGACAGCGCAGAAGCGTCTTGAAATGGAAAGGGGCACCCCCCCCCCCCCCCCCCGATAGTCAGCAACGACTAGTGGAATAAAATCCATAGGGACTCCTTTCCTTTTTTAATTTATGAGATTATTTAAGCATCTTTCCTAAACTCACATAGCTTTGTAAGAACTGGCTGCATTTGCTGTTCCGTCAACTGCTCATGTTTTATGACAGAGGATGAAAGTCTCCTGAAAGAGAACTCTGGAAGAATAACTGCCAGATTAATAGAAACCCACATTCTCTTTATATTATAATGTAAAGTTGGTAGCGAGAGAGAGAGCAGCAAAGCTCAGGCAGCCAAAACTAGCTTTTGAAGGTGAGCCAAAAAGCCTTTGGGGAACATCTAACCTGCACTTGATCTCGTCTCATAGAACATACATCTTAAGAAATGAAAGAACATTCCTTCCGCAGGAAGGATTATAGGACAGGCAGGCAGGCCTGTCATGAGAAGAACATAAATATGAAAGCAGCCACACCTCTCTTGCACTAAGATTCTATCAAGCTGACACTTTCTATTACGGAAATATGTACATGCCCAGTGCAACTATTTCTAAGATCAGTGCAGATTAAGATTTGATAATTTCATTTTTTTTCTAAAAGATTGCCAGATTGTCTCTTTTTAATCTCTTTATTTCAGAAAGTCTTATTTTAAAAAAAAAAATGTTTCTCCTAGGTAGGAGAATAAATATGGCAATAATGCCTAAATCCTACATATTGCTTATCCCCCTGCCTTCCTAACATGACAATATAGCTACTATATTGGCAGTTTTCAAAAGGATGATTATTCAGGAGCCAAGAATGAAAAGTATCGTGTGGAGATTTAAATGCCATCTGCACTGAACTAAGGTTTAAAAGATGTGTTCTGGGATTCAGAGCAGTGAGATGAACAATTGTTCTCTTTGTACAACAGATCCAGCGTGCATGTGATATACTGTCAGATGATACTTACAAATCCTCTTTTTAAAAAAAAAAAATGGGGGGAAATGATGCTTTTAAACTCTTACCGTCAACTTTTACAGATTCATCAAATTCCAAATTAGATCCAGACATCCCTTCCCTGGGCACATTTTTAACTTGAATTATTAAATCACCAGACTAGAGTTTTTTTTAGTATCTTTTAAAAGGAAGAACAAAAGTGATCACATGGTTAATAAATTTTTCATAACCCCAAAAGTAAGTTTACTTTTATCATAGTGCTAGCAAAAGTTCAGGGTTGTAACTGGTAGATTAATTATTGCAAACACTGCCAAAGGGTTATTATTTCAGGAAGAACTCCAGAAGGGAGGGCTTCATATCTACAAGCCCATTAAGTTCTACAACTTATAAAGGGTCCCTGTTGGGAAGACACTGTTCCTATTGAAAGAATTCCTGTTGAGAAGCTGACAAAAATAGAGAAAAATCCTCTGCTACAGCAGTTTTTTCTCCTCTGTGTTGTAATTTATTCCCACCCACCCCCCTCAAAAATTAATAGCCACCATTCAGTCCTGTAGAACACAGGACATCATGAGATGAGGACTTACCTGGGTGACTACAGCGGTAAAGATCTGAGACTACTCCTATCTGCATACAGCCCTAGATTTGACAGTTACACTAATGACCCCATCCTGTCTACTCTGCTTCTAACTTGGGCTACATTTTGGCAAAACTTTAGGAATTGGCTAATCTGGCTGGACTCCTGTGCAATTAAAACTAGCCCAGAAATTTTATTAAGAAAAAAAAAACCACTTTGTTATTTGAACTTCTTCAGAAATATAAGCCCAATTATAATAATGCCTTTAATAGTAAATCTGATTCTGTTTAGGTCTCAGTGAAATACCGTATTTTTCAGAATATAAAACGCACTTTCCCCCCCCCCCCAAAAAAGAGCGTGGAAATGTTGGTGCCTCTTATATACCGAATACAGCCGTTTTTGGCCTCCCGAACTTCTGGGGAGGGCAAAAATGCAATGCGTGGGGGGTTTGGGAGGTGAAAAACAGGATGCGCAGAGGGTTTGGGACAGTGGTGGGATTCAAAACTTTTTACTACCGGTTCTGTGGGCATGGCATGGCTTGGTGGGCGTGGCAGGGGAAGGATACTGTAAAATCTCCATTCCCTCCCCACTCCAGGGTAAGGTTACTGCAAAATCCCCATTTCCTCCTGATCAGCTGGGACTCGGGGAGCAGAGAATAGATCGGGGCTGGGGCCAGTCAGAGGTGCTATTTACCGGTTCTCCAAACTACTCTAAATTTCCGCTACCGGTTCTCCCGAACTGGTCAGAACCTGCTGAAACCCACCTCTGGTTTGGGAGGCCTGCAGAGTGCTCCTGGGGGCCAGTGAGGGCATAAACTACTTTTTCTTGTTTTCCTCTTCAAAATCTTGGTGGGTCTTGTACTCCAATGCGTCTTATAGTCCGAAAAATATGGTAAATAAAATGGGAATTCTCTGTTCCAAGGAAAGAAACTTTGGCACTCCAGAGGTTTAATGAACTACAATTCTTAGTAACCCCAAACAGCATGGCCAATGGTAAGGGAAGATAGATGTTTTAGTTCAGGAACAGCTGGAAGATTGTCTATCTCTGCTGTAACAATGAGCCAGAGAGGTCACAAAATAAAAGACTTAGGTGTACTATGAAGAACTAAGGAGAAATTTCCAGACAGTTAATTAATAAGTGGAACAATTAATAAGTGGAACAACTTGCCTGCAGAAGTTGTGAATCCCCCAACACTGGAAATTTTTAAGAACATGTTGGATAACCATTCGTCTGAAGTGGTGTAGGGTTTTCTGCCTGGGCAGGGGGTTGGATTAGAAGACCTCCAAGGTCCCTTCCAACTCTGTTATACTAAATTCTATTCTAAATTCTAAAGTTTGTATAGGCAAAGTAGTCTTCCAGCATGTGCCATAGATACCGTGTTTCCCCGAAAATAAGACCCTGTCTTATATTTTTTTGAACCCTGAAATAAGCGCTTGGCCTTATTGCCATGCGCTCAAAAGCCTGATTGGGCTTATTATCAGGGGAGGTCTTATTTTGGGGGAAACAAGGTAATAAGATGAAAAGTAGAAGTTCAAGTGGTGAAGTTTTGATAGAGAAACTACATATATTAACTTTAGATTTACCATCCAAGTATTGGCAAAATATATGCCAAGGGAATTCTTTATAGACCTAATATATTTTTGCACTTTATGATTAAGGAAACATGAAACACGGGAATAAAATAAGTCTGTGATCCAGAATTCAATGAATTCCATTAATCCATTCATTATCTATCTGACAAAACTCCCTGAAGAGCTTCTTTATCATCCTGTTCCTTTAATGGCCTTTGCAGGTTTGTTGTGGAATCTCTCCTCCAATGACCAGCTGAAAAATTTATTGATCAGGGAAGCCCTGCAGCCATTGACAGAAACTGTCCTCATTCCTTATACTGGATGGCCAGATAGAGATTATCCAAAATCAAGCATCATCCCTGACCCTGATATCTTCTACAATGCTACAGGATGCCTGAGGTGAGTTGTTTACTGTGTGTGCCTTGTAATCCAGTTGCAAGGCTGTGGTGGAATGTAGTTTGGAGTTGGGTCTCTTTCCAAGGGGATAAAAAGACCCTAGAGCTTGGAATGTCTGGTGGGCAGAAAGAGAGCAAGCTCAGACACTCCCTAGAAATTCACATACTATAGTTATTGCAGATAATTGCTTTAGTTTGGCAAGATTCTGTCCTTAGGTGTACAGCAATAGGGGTGAAATCCAGCAGGTTCTGACAGGTTCTGGAGAACTGGTAGTGGAAATTTTGAGTAGTTCGGAGAACCGGCAAATGCCACCTCTGGCTGGCCCCAGAGTGCGGTGGGATTGGAGATTTTGCAATATCTTTCCCCCAGAAGTGGGGAGGGAATGGGGATTTTGCAGTATCCTTCTCCTGCCATGCCCATCAAGCCATCCCATGCCCACCAAGCCATGCCCAGAGAACCAGTAGTAAAAAAATTTGAATGTCACCACTGCTTCACATGTAGTTCTTGATTTTTCAATATTTGAAGACCCCCTAGTGTCTTCTAGTGGACTCTGGGCAGTGAACAACAAAACATTAACGAATTAAATCATACACATTCTTACGAAAGACACTGAGTCAACTAGCACCAAAATCATGTTAGAATATATTTTACCTGTTTGCAAAATATAAGAAAGGCTGAATGTATTCTGAAGGAAGAGTATAGCAGCTGTCATTAAGAAGGATTATCATACATTCCATGGACTACGCAGATCTTGAAAAGACGGGCATCTCAGTCGATCCTTTAGACCAGTGGCACTAGGGACTGCTTTCATGGAAGACAATTTTTCCATGGACTGGGGGTGGAGACGCAACCTAGATCCAAGTGGTTAAATTGAACATTTCCAAATGTGATTAGAAAGTGAGTTAGGCTGGCTTAGTGTTCTTATTAAAGTCTATGATTCTACTGAAAACAAAAATATATCCCTCAATTCCTGATACTCAGACTCATGGAAGACTGCTGTTTTACAGTCTCCTTGAAAGAAGCTGACCATCAGAGCACTTGTGGACAATCTTCCATTCTCTCCTTCTCCAGAGAGCTTTGAAGGACAGAGTTACTCCCTGATCTTTTGTTCTATCTAGCAGTAGTTTCCACTCATTCGTGGAAGATGTCTTCAATTAGCCATGGCTCACAGCAGAAGCCCCAGGAAAATTAGTTTTGATGAACTTAGATAAAATAAGAGAGCTTTGTTTATGATGGTAAAATAGTTATGACCACCTATCTTAATTACTGGGAATATGTGGTGGGAATGTAGTCTGGTTTCCCAGCAAGGAGGGGCTGCATTCCAGAGGGCAAAGAGAATGCAGAGTTTGGAATGTTTGATCAAGAGGAAGAGGGTTAAAGCAGATCCTCCCTAGTGTATATCTGTAGTTATGCAAATAGTTTTTTAAGTCTGGCAAAATCCTGTCTAAAAAACAATAATACAAGAAAAACAATAATTAGTACTCAGACCTAATTCCACCTGTTCTTTGTTCTTGGGGCCTGACAGAATTAAATAGTAGCCTTGACACAACTGAGCTTTGCAAGAACAGAGAAATACATCATATATTCCTGGGTGTTTAAGTGTAGCCATGTCAGATTCCAAAGATCATTCAAGGACTATTTCCTATAGTCCGAAAGGTACTGTTACAAATTTCTCCTGTTTGTTTCTATTGCACCAATAGAAAATTCACAGCAGATCAAAAGACTTGGTACAAAGCATAGCAAAACTGAGGATCTTAACCAGTGGTGGAATCCAAATTTTTTTACTACCAGTTCTGTGGGTATGGTGTGGCTTGGTGGGTGTGGCTTGGTGGGTGTGGCAGGGGAAGGATACTGCAAAATCCCCATTCCCTCCCCACTCTGGGGCCAGCCAGATGTGATATTTGCCAGTTCTCCGAACTGCTCAAAATTTCCGCTACCAGTTCTCTAGAACCTGTCAGAACCTGCTGGATTTCACCCCTGATCTTAACATCAGGCATTGGGATCATGGCATCTGTAATACACTTAGATAGCATCAACAGTCTCCAAAATTAAATTTGTATTTCTTTTCAACAAGGCAAAGATCTGAGATGTCAGATTTTAGATAATTTTAAAATCTGAAAGAGTGCCCAAACACTTGTGTGAAAGTGTGCAGTGAAGTTTGGCTCCTGAAAAGTTTTTGACCTGTGTTTTAGATCTACAAGAGGTGTTGATTTACTGAATTGCTTTGTGGTATGTGGTCACACCTGCAACTCTAACCCATAAAACAAAGGAAGAATAATGTAAAACAGATGACATGTGTTTTAAATGGTTAATCTTTTGGTTTTGTATCATAAAATATTTGATTTTACAGTGTCCGGCAAGTACATCTCCACTTTCCATAAGTGGACAGAATTAATAGGAATAATATATAATATGATCACAATAGTTCAGAACAATTCATTTCAGAAATAAAATAAAATTAATTTAAATGATGCTGCCTTACCAAATTGCATAAATCATTGTAGAATCCATACTATGAACCAGCTTTCTGCAAAGCCTACTGAGCTGTAAATTGGGGTTCTAGAAACTAAACTTATCTTGAAAACAATAGGCCGCTTTTCTCAACCCTGGCAACCTGAAGAAGTATGGACTTCAATTCCCAGAATTTTTCAGTCAGCATCCACACTACAGTATGCTGAAAGAAGCTATTATAAATCCTGAAGAATAACAGAAATACAATGAAGTATATAAGGAGTGCAGTGGCTCGTGTGGTTAGGACGGTGGGTTGGAGGTTAGCAAGCCCACGTTTGAGACCCGAGTGCTGCTGCGGGCTGGGTGAGCTCCTATCATTCACTCCAACTCCTTTACGGGGATGTGAAAGGAGCCCCCATGGGTGTCCCCAGAGCAATGGTGATAACACTGGCTAATCCTTTCAACCTGGAAGTGCCTTAAATGAGTGAGACAGAAATGAAGTATATGTTGGGTTGTCCTTCCCATTGCCAAAGATTTAGAAATATTTGAAGTGTGTATTTTTAGCTCAGGATTGAAATGAGGGGTCCTTGGTGCTCTCCGAGCTTGGTTGCTAGCACTGATAATGTTACCTAGTTTGGATAATGAAACATCTGCAAGAAAGCCACCAAGCTCAAGAGAGCACCAAGGACCCCTTATGTGTCCTTTCAAAAGGAATTGGACTTTGTTTTTCCTTGGAGATGTTTGGTTTCACATCGGAGAAGCTTCTTCAGTTCTGACTACAGACTTTCAGTCAGAACTGAGGAAGCTTCTTGAAAGAGAGGCTAGATGTCTTCAAGGAAGAACAAAGTCCAGTTGCCTTTTGAAAAAAAAACATCCATCACTGGAGGTTTTTAATAAGAGGTTGGACAACCATTTATCCAGAATGATATAGAGCAGAGGTCTTCAAACTTGGCAGCTTTAAGACTTGTGGACTTCAACTCCCAGAATTCTCCAGCCACCGTAGCTGGCTGGAGAATTCTGGAAGTTGAAGTCCACAAGTCTTAAAGCTGCCATGTTTGGGGACCCTGGTATAGAGTCTCCTTCTTGAGCAGGGAGTTGGACTAGAAGACCTCTGAGATCTCTTCCAACTCTGTTATTCTGTAATTCTATATTTTGTTTTTGTTTTTTTTTTCCTGCTTCTTTTTGTCTGTTTAAGAGAGACAAAGGGAAAGGTGGGGCTAAAAAGCCTGTGATTGGAGATCAACAGCTGTTAGCCTTCATAGCAGAGTGACTGTTTGAAGGCCATCTGCTGGGAGATTAGTGGGCTTCCTTGTTCAATCGGTTGGCCGTTGTGAGAACAGACTGCTTGACTAGATGAGCTAGGGGTCCATCCTAGTGGAGCACTGCTTATGTTCTTGCTATTAACTAGCAAAAAATTCTTACGACATTACAAGACTCTGTTTGTATAACTTCAAAATCAAAAACAGTGCTGTGAGTAATAAAGTAAACGTACAACACTGCTTGTTCGTTAGATTATTCTATATGCCAATTTGTTTGATGTTGTTGTCTTCACAGGTAGCTTCTTTCCCTGCAGGATTTTTTCCTTCTGGGTAGAGAAGAAGAGCAAGTTATTGTAAAGTGAGGCCACTAACAGGGCAGTTGGGAAAATAATTTGCCTAAATGCTTGTACATCTGCCAGCTTACACAGCCTAATTTGTTTTCTCCTTTTGCAAATCTTACAATGCTGATGGCTTGGGCACTTCAAGGAATGCAGCCTGAAATATGAAAAGAAAGTTTTGGTGTGTCATTATTTATACATAATACGCATCTGATACTTTTAGTAGAGTCATAGCACTTGCAAGAGTATTACCCCCAAAATAAGACATCCCCTGATAATAAGCCCAATTGGGCTTTTGAGTGCATGGCAATAAGGCCAAGCCCTTATTTCAGGGTTCAAAAAAATATAAGACAGGGTCTTATTTTCGGGGAAACACAGTAGAACTGAGAGAAATTATTGACTCTTGTGATGCTTTGGGGAAAGCAAACAAGGGTTAACCAAAGACTTGTCTCACTGCGAAGCATAACAATAAAATCTTAATAATTTTTTATAGAATACGGTAAGAGAAAATGATAAGATTTTTATACACTCTTTCCTCTGTTTCAGAAGAACATTATACCAAGCTATGGTTTATTCTGGTGCCTTAACCACCAGAATATTATTATTGAATAAACCGCCACTGAATTTGACACAATATACTAAACAATACCGTACTTCATAAATTTGGTCTGGTGGTTAAGGCACCAGATTAGAAATCAGGAGTCTATGAGTTCTAGTCCCACTTTAGGAGTGAAAGCCAGCTGGGTGACTTTGGGCTGGTCACTCCCTCTCAGTCCAGCTCACCTCACAGGGTTGTTGTGGTGGGGGAAATAGAAGGAGGAAGGAGTATTAGGTATATTTGCCACATTGAGTTAAGTGGGATAAAAATCTAATAAATAAATACTTCACAAATTATTCCGATTGATTTTGTACAATGTGAGCAAGACTCATACAAAATCCCTTTCACTCTTTAAAT